TATAAGATCATATCAAAAACCCTTGCAAATCGTTTGAAGCCGATGTTGAAACAAATTATCTCTCCGGAACAAATTATCGGGCGACTTATCACTGACAACGCGTTGGTGGCTTTTGAGGTTTTCCATTCAATGAAGAGAAGAGGTGAAGGGAAGGATGGTACGATTGCTTTAAAGTTGGATATGATGAAAGCCTACGATCGAGTTGAGTGGGAATTTCTAGAAAGGGTGATGCACAAGTTAGGATTTTGTGATGAATGGACACAAAAAATTATGGGGTGCCTTTCTTGCTTTTCTTTTTCTTTCAAGCTCAATGGTGAGATAGTTGGGAAGGTGGTACCGCATAGGGGCCTTCGACAGGGAGACCCAATCTCCCCGTACTTGTTCCTTCTAGTGGCGGATGCTTTTTCAGGACTACTTTCGAAAGCTGCAAAGGATAACATTATTCATGGTGCGAGGGTTTGTCAAGGAGCTCCTCGGATTTCACATCTTTTTTTCGCTGATGACAGCATTTTATTTGCTAGAGCAAATGCTACGGAGTGCTCAAAAATTGCGGATATTCTCCGTATTTATGAAAGAGCTTCAGGGCAAAAAATTAATTTTAGCAAATCGGAAGCAACTTTTAGTAAGATTGTCTCAGCGGATAGAAGGAAAAGCATTTGTGAGTCTCTTGGTGTTGAGGAGGTAAATCGTCATAAAAATATTTGGGGCTTCCTACAATAATTAGCAGATCAAAGAAGGCTACTTTTGCTGGACTTAAAGAGCGAATATGGAAGAAGCTCCAAGGTTGGAAGGAGAAGCTTCTTTCAAAACCGGGTAAAGAGGTATTGATCAAAGCGGTCACTCAAGCTATTCCACCCTCTTGTGTCTGACAGAATGTATTGGGGACACACTACGGATGGTATTTTTTCTGTAAAATCGGCTTGTTGGTTGGGCATTTTTGGTGTGAACAATGCTGCTAATAATATTGATGATGATTTGTGGAAATTAGTATGGAATATTGAGGGACCACCGAAGCTTTGTCATTTTCTTTGGAGAGTTTGTAGTGGGGCAATTGGAGTTAATGATGTACTGAGGCGCAGACATATAAGAGGGGATGGAATTTGTCCTGTTTGTGGGAATGCAGAGGAAACAATTATGCATGCCTTATTTAGATGCATATCACCGCTTTTGATCTGGAATTTAAGCTCATTTAAGAATTTTCTGGATGAGTGTGATGACTTGTCCTTCCAAGATTGTTTGAAAAGAATGGCTGGGAAACTAACAAAGCAAGAATTATCTACCTTTGTTGCGTTAGCGTGGGCTGCGTGGACAAGCAGAAACAAGCATATTCACGAGCAGGGGTCGCATGATGCTCGAATGCTGGCAGCTGGTTTCGTGAGGTATGTACATGACTATAATGTGTATTCTGCTAGAGTTTTTGGGAGGGTGGCCTGTGGTGGGTTAGGCTCTGCTGCAACGTGGATTAAACCCCCTGAAGGAGTGATAAAAATTAATGTTGATGCTGCCATCTTTAATGGAGTAGATGTGGGTTTAGGAGTGGTGGTGCGAGACTCAAATGGGAAGCTACTTGCCACTGCTGCTCGAAGACGCAAGGGTGGGTGGGACCCAAGCATTGCTGAAGCTGCTGCTATGAGTTTTGGGATCGAGATTGCTCATCGTCTTGGCTATACGAATATCTGGTTGGAGAGTGACGCTCTTGGAGTATTCCAGAAAATTAATAGGAAGCATGAAGGGTTAAGTCATATATACTTGTTCATTGATAAAGTCTGTAGTTCTATTTCTTCTAATTTCTTTCATATTAGTCATGTTAAAAGGGGAGGGAACACTGTGGCACATTCTGTAGCTAGATCGTGCCCCCACAATGTGGTGGAGCTTGTATCTTTTGAGCCATTCTCGCAAGTTGTCAGCACCCTTGCTGAGATGGATGTTTCTTGATCTTAATAAAAGTTCCTTCCTTCTTTCAAAAAAAAATTAATATTAATCACACTAATTTTTTTTTTTTTAGTTCATTACTTCCTTAGTCCTAATGAGTTCAGTCGCAGCTGAAACAAATCAATTCATTAATAAAAAGTCATCCGATATCTACAAATGAAATCTAAATTAACAAATACATAAAATTGAATCAAATTAGGTTTTCCTTCATTAGAGCTACGATCGTTGAAAAGATCTTGCACTGTGGTACATCTCACACATCGCTGGAATATACAGCCTTTTCGGAGAGATTGTCTAACAATTTGTTGTAGCTGTAAGGATGATTCTCATTTGATTCACCTGAACGCATTTGAAAATTTGACAACCATTGCGATCCCGAACAAATCTTTACCAAAGAACTGACAATAGGGCAAAAGATGATTACTTTTTTTATGAACCCTAACACACAAACAAACCCTAAACAAAAACAAACAACTAAACTAACGAAACTAACAACTCCACCATAGGGAGACACTCCACCATAGAGAGACGGACGAATATCTACTTGTGTAGATTTATTGAAATTCAAATTGCAAAACTAAATAAAATTGAAGGAAAAGGGTCGGAAATAATTAATTTCCGAAAAAATTAGACTATTTCCGACCTAAACGGTCAAGATTTTATTAATCACACTAATTTATGCATAATTTTATCATGAATTATCAACTTAATTTTATTTTAGAATGTATACTTAATGCGTATACATATCTCTGAGCACTAACATATATATTACCCTTAAAAAAAATGAAAATTTGTGCGGAGTAGGAAATTTATGGGAAACGCAAGGCTGAAGTAAGAGGACGTGAGCCCCAAGCCATGTGCTGAAATGCGGCGTAGGGATTCTACGACAATGCCAAATATTGTTAGAGAATAAAATGAGCTAATGAACGTCATCTTTAACGGTTTGTTTGGTAAACCATTGATAGCAAGTTATAACAAATTAAAGTAATGGTCTCTATTGACTTGATGACTAATGGGGATTGAGATGAGATTGGCTTACTAATTTCCTATTATTGCACTACAGTATTACTTCAGTGCTAATTTAGGGACTTCAATCAATTATCAACGACTAAAACTTTTAATTGAATTGATCATTTGATTGAGTTAAGGTTTTGACATAATGTATTGATATTAAGAGTCATAACATCACGCTAATCTAACACACAACCTTCACTACAATTGAGGTTTTTATTTTCACCAACAAACGATTGAGGTTTTTATTAAAATCATTAAACTAAAGTATCAATCAATTGGTTGTTGGTGTAGTTTGATCGGGGTTGCACTTGGTAGGGATGATTACATATTTGATCCACTACAACAATAATTGGGAGGGGCTGAAATCTAACCACCTATAAATAATCCCCAACCCTGATTAGCCTCAAAAGGCGAATTGGGTGGAACACCAAAAAAAAAAAAAATAACATTACTTCTTTCTATTCAGCACAACATATTTAGTATACTACGTCAAAGGGTTATTTGTGTGAGGCCCCCAAACAATGCAACTTTGAATAACTTTGGACTATGTGCGATTTCACAGTCGTTTGCATCGCCTAAAGGTCGGGCATGCAAACAAGTTGAGCCGTGCTATGGGTGGAAACAAGTTGAATCATGTATTATGAAAGCTTATGTGTTGAGCTAGAGATATTGCTTGAAACAAACTAAGAAAAATCTTTGTCATGTCAGGTTGAGCTCGTGTTGATAATTTATCAACAAAGCTCATGCACAACCCAATTCACATGTTGTTTTGACTCAAGTTCGTTTTACCATGCTAAGAAGCCTTTACAATAATGTTTCATACTTTTCCTTCTAGTATATTGCAATAAGGATGAACTTATGCATCCCAAAACATATTTTATATGTTAAACGTCTATAATTATATAAGAGCAAAGTTTATAAAAAGTTGACATGAACTATTCTGGCAATAATATACTTCGTATTACTGGCAATTCACACTCAAGTTCTGGCAATTATATAATTTGGTTGACATGAACCCAATTCACACTCAAGTTCGTTTTTTTTTTCCCTTCTTCTGGCAATAATATACTTCGTATATAATTTTTTTCTTATTACTGTTACACATTTATTAATCAGACTTTCTTTAATATACGGCTAGAAATATGATAGGCCTAGGTTTAAAGATTTTCTAGTTGTGAACTTATTTATTTAAATTTTTTCCAACTTGCCTGTTTCTTGATCTGTATTCAATATATTAAACTCATAAATTTTGTTCATACATTTATTGTTATGAAATTTTGCAATTAGATCTTATTTTAAACTGTTCAAAATATCTTTTATATCTATGTAAAATTAATTTATAAATAGAAGAATCTTATGACAACTAAACTAAAAATCAAAACTAGCAAATACAAAATAAATTGGATCAAAATAAGATTTTAATTGAGCAAAATCAAGATAATTGCTCAATATTGTATTTCACATCGCGGTTTAATATAACCTTTTACAAGGAAGTCTTTTGATCAATTGTAGTTTTAAAATTTAATGTAATTAATTCTAAATGTAGAATTGACCTCTTATACCTAGTTATGAATCTTATTATTATCTTATGAACAAATATACTACGGAGTAGTAATTAGAATTAATTAGACACAATTTATTGACATAGAAATATGGTCCAAATGTAACTAATGACATGAACTATTCTATACATAAGTAAATAGTTTAACATAAACTTTGTCACTAGATTACATAGTGAAGTGATATCAACTCAAACTTAGCATGCATGCACTTAAATGACCACGATCATGCCATAAGTGTTTTTAATGACCAAGTTCATGTTACATATATTTTAGTGATCAATTTATATTATTGAGTGTATCTAACCAGAAAGCTCTATCAGATTAATTATAAAGTCAAGTTCATGTCAATAGTTGTAATCGAAACATAGTTTCAATTCAGTAAGTAAAATTTCTTCTTAACACCGCGAAATCACATTAATGGACAAAAGATGGTTATGAACGGAGCATCCCTCGTACTAACCTCGCTCAACTTATCTAATCAATGGGGGCATCAAATCTTCTAATCACACCTAAATCCCAAAACATAAACAGCTGGTTTTGGTTCAAATAATGTCAATGTGATTTGGGTTTTGTAGTTTCACATCTTTTTCCTAAAATAAAGTGGGTCCTTTGCTCCTTTCTCTCTCTTCTTCTCTTCCTGAATAATGACAGCCTAATCAACAGCCTGGAAAGGGCTGGTAATTCTGGTTAGCTCAATTTCAGCTCACTTTACCTGAGTTTTCATGGTAGTTGGTACTTCTACTACTTGGTATTAGTATCCTTTCTTTCTTTCTTACTTGCTGCCATTGATGCTCTCTCTCTCACACTCTTTCTCTCTCCTCCATTGTTGGCTCAACTGAAACACAAAAAGAGGTAAAAGTTTTGTACTTCAATTGCATCAACTTTAGCTTAATTTAAATACCCATCTTTCTTATTCAATTTATACCTTGTTTTACCAATTTGGGTTGCTATCAATTTGTACATTCTTTGCTGTAAGCTCAGTAAGTTGGAACATTGTTTGATAGATCTGAAGGGTGTTCGACGAAATGCCTCAGTGAGTGTAAAAGTGCTGCCAGCTTGGGTTTGCACTATTTGGGTGTTATTGGGTATATTTTGTTTCTGGGTTTTGAATTGTTTTAGGCAATTGATTGATTAGTCCATTTTTTGGGGTTAAAAAGATGAAGATTATGAAATGGGTGCCTTTGTTTATGACTTTGATTTTATATGGGATGTTTGTTTGTAGCTCAAATGCAGCCTTTAAACCTGTTGATTCTTACTTATTAGCTTGTGGTTCTTCTAATAATGTCACTTTTCAAGGCCAAACTTATATTCCTGATTTAGAGCATTCCTCAGTTAAACTCAGTAGTCAAGCCAATTCTCTTGTTGCTACCACCAATTCTAGTGCTCCCTTCCCTATTTATCAATCTGCCCGAATATTCACCCGTAGTGTGTCTTACGAATTTGATATCAAACAGAAAGGCCATCATTGGGTTCGGCTTTATTTCTATCCGGTTTCGAGTGCAGGGCATGACTTGAAATCGGCTTCCCTTACTGTTGTTACTGAAAACTTTGTGCTCCTAAACAACTTCACATTTGAGAACTTTAAGGGTTCTTATATGTGGAGGGAGTTTGCCATCAATGTAGACTCGAAATCCTTGAGCCTTACTTTTATTCCTTCGAACAATTCAATTGCGTTTGTGAACGCGATTGAAGTTGTCTCAATCCCAGATGACTTGGTCCCTGACCAGGCTTTGTTCTTGCCATCAACCTCTATTAGTGGGATATCAGAGCTAGCACTTGAGACTGTGTACCGAGTAAATATGGGCGGTCCATTGCTTACTGCTCAAAATGATACTCTAGGAAGAATGTGGCAGAATGATGTGCAATATCTTCATGTGAATAGCTCTGCTACAAATGTTTCTGTTAGCCCTTCAACTATCAAGTATCCAGCTACAGTTACTCCTGATATAGCACCAAATTGGGTGTATGCCACTGCTGAAACTATGGGAGATCCGAATGTGGCCAATAGTAACTTCAACATGACCTGGGTTTTCAATGTTGATCCAGATTTCACCTACTTTTTAAGGGTTCATTTTTGTGATGTTGTCAGCCAGTCGCTGAATTCTCTTGTTTTCAACCTGTACATCAATTCCGATGTTTGGGCAAGTGTAGACCTTTCATCCTTAACTGGCGGTCTTGACGTGCCTTACTACAAGGATTTTGTTGCAAATTCTTCAGACTCAGGTGAGTTGACCATAAGTGTTGGTCCAGATCCTGTAGCTGATGATAGTAATGGTATTATGAATGGCCTGGAGATCATTAAGATGAGCAATGAAGCAAGAAGCTTGGATGGAGTTTCTCCTGTTGAACATCTTCTTCCTCCTTCAGCATCGAAAAAGAAACACTCTGCAATTATCATTGGTTCATCTGTAGGTGCAGTGGCTGCAGTAATGATGATTGCTCTCTTTTATTGCTGCTTTGTTTCTCACAAGTCGAAGACTCCTCAACAAGGAAATTCATGGTTGCCTTTGCCATTGTATGGTAACTCCTTGACGTTGACAAAAATGTCCACTGTTTCTCAAAAGAGTGGTACTGCTAGCTGCATTTCATTGACTTCCACCAATCTTGGTCGGTTCTTCTCTTTCCAAGAAATCATGGAAGCGACTAATAAGTTTGATGAGACCATGCTTCTTGGAGTTGGTGGTTTTGGAAGAGTTTACAAGGGAACACTTGAAGATGGGACTAATGTTGCTGTCAAAAGAGGAAATCCAAGGTCTGAACAAGGTATAGCTGAGTTTAGAACTGAAATTGAGATGTTGTCTAAGCTAAGACATCGTCATCTTGTCTCTCTCATTGGCTACTGTGATGAGAGATCTGAGATGATATTGGTCTATGAATACATGGCCAATGGACCACTTAGGAGCCATCTTTATGGTGCAGATCTTCCATCTCTGTCTTGGAAACAACGGCTTGAAATATGTATTGGGGCTGCGAGGGGATTGCATTATCTCCACACAGGTGCAACTCAGAGCATTATTCACCGAGATGTCAAGACAACAAATATTCTCTTGGATGAGAATTTTGTGGCTAAGGTAGCTGACTTTGGCCTCTCTAAAACCGGACCTTCTCTTGATCAGACCCATGTTAGCACTGCTGTTAAGGGAAGTTTTGGGTATCTTGATCCTGAGTACTTTAGGAGGCAACAATTGACTGAAAAGTCAGATGTATACTCATTTGGGGTAGTTTTGATGGAGGTTCTCTGCACTAGACCAGCTTTGAACCCTGTGCTCCCGAGGGAGCAAGTCAATATTGCAGAATGGGCAATGACTTGGCAAAAGAAAGGCATGCTTGATCAAATTATGGACTCAAACCTTGTGGGGAAGGTAAATTCTGCTTCACTAAAGAAATTTGGGGAGACTGCGGAGAAGTGCTTGGCAGAGTATGGGGTTGATAGGCCATCAATGGGAGATGTATTATGGAATCTTGAATATGCTCTTCAGCTGGAGGAGATGTCATCTGCTCTTGCGGAGCCTGAAGATAACAGCACAAATCATATTCAAGGTTTACCATTAACCTCTCTTGAGCAATTTGACAATAGTGTTAACATGATGAATGGAGCTAACTCTGGTACTGATGATGACGCGGAAGATGCTACAACAAGCGCCGTGTTTTCTCAATTAGTAAATCCCCGTGGAAGATGAGGGTGATGGTTTCTATTTAATACTGGTGAACATTGTTTGGGTGCCCCATCCAGAGATGTATCAGAAGGTTAAGTTAAGTTTGATTGCTTGTTGGCCTCATTGCTTGCTTATTTTGATTTGTAATATAGAGAAGAATGAATATAATGAAGTTCGTCCGATACTGTCCCCAAGATCGTTATAGGAAGCCCATTGTTTCCTTTTTGTTCTTATATAATTGGATTTTGCTTCCCATTTTGTATTACACTTCTTTAGGATAGTGATATATGTAATGGATTCACAAAACAATTGTTCAACAATGCAGAAAATAATGCACAGGTTCTGCAATTATTATCTTGCATATTGGTGTCCTTTTAAGATCACATTGATGTATTTTGCTTCCTATCCTATTTTTTCTGTTGACTTATGAAACCAAATACAAGAGAAAAGCATCTCTGTGCTAAAATTGGTTGCTAATATTAAAATACAAAGGCATAAATTTCTTATTCTACTCCTGGATAAAAAAAAATAAAAATTGTGAAAGCGATGAAAGAATGACAAAGAAGAAAGAGATTTCATGCATGAAATCTGCTAATGGATACAAATTCAATCTTTGTGCTGCCCCTGCAGTCTACAATGCCCAGATCCTTCATAAAAGCGAAATTCTGATGTAGTACTCCAATTGGAGAGAACAGGCAGGATTTGCAGTCTGTTGATAAAAGGGTTGAGGTTCTATATCTGTCTTCTCCGCCTACAACGGGCATAGCAACACCTGGCTTTGCCGGGTTCTTAAAGTCCGGCTGGTATGTCCTTCCGAGCACACCTTCAACTTTTGGTGAAAGTCCGAAAAATCGGAATTGCACTTCCAAGTGAGCAAAACAGTCATCTGGAGGTATTTGATAATTATGTATCCTGTTGTCTTTCTTTGTAACTGGAACCACATTGACTGATATCTCTGCGATTTCTTGTACAGTCACAATAACACTGTTTTTGCTTTCTGTTCTTTCTATTTTCAGGTCTTCATTAGCTGATGTCCAGCTTGATGAGTATCCTGTGGGTACATTTAGTTCCTGTCCATCATAAGAAAACTTCAAGTGCTCAACTTCTTCATCCCATGCTGCAGCAGGTGTGGCCTCAAGAGAGAGAGTGTGGGAGTCGAACATGATCCCTAGGGCTTGTATCCACGTGTAATCTCGCTTTCTTCCAGAAGGTCGGAGTCCAATGAAGCGGGCATTGACTTGGAGCTTAGGATCTGATACTAAACTAAAGTGCTCATTGCTCTTACCATGGAAGTAAAAAACTATTCCATCTCCACCAATGAAGCGAGGGTCCAAGCATGCTGCTCCCCGGCCACTGCAATTTGGCTTGCGATCTATGATTGTCACCAAACATATTTTGTGAGTATGCATAATATGATAATCTCATAATCAATACTTTGCATGTTATATAGCATAAGACAATTTGTTGTTCTTTAGAGTAAACTATAACATAGTGTTAGAAGATCTCTGCTGGTTCATCTTTTATAGTTTATAAAACCTTCAAAGGAGCATGTTTAACCATCTTACACTAAGTGTGAGACATTAAAAGTCTTTCCCAAAAGAAGTATGAGGTCACCCCTACGGTAAAAGAGTCAATTTAGCTTCACATAAAGTTATTAAGCCCATCTTTAACAAGACATTGCCTAGTGTAAGACAACCTAAGTTATGATTAAAGACGTAAATAAATGAGAGGAAAAAAAAATGTGGATGTGTAACTGTGCTATACATGGAGGATAAAATACACTCACTTCTGCATTCAGCCTTGCATATTGGTGAGTAGCAGTCTATATAGCAAACTTTAGCTTTAGGATCTTTCGGGTGTGATGTTGGGCACTGCCTTGGGCAGGTAATTCGCTTGAGGAAGCAAGGGCTTCTGCGACTGAAGCAAGTCCTGGTCTCTGTGTGTACTGGTATCACTTTTGTCGATGATTTTGAATGTGCTTGTGTTGAACTGGAGATAAAAACCAGAAAAAGGATCTGTAAGCAGTTGATTATAGACACCTTCATGGCTTACTCTCTATTATAAAGATCATACAATGACCCCTTAATTCCGAGTTTTGTTGTCTTAGGGTAATAAGCAATCGAGTCTTGGTTAATATAGTGTTTATCTCTGTTGATTCTGCACCCAATTTTTGTGAGTTTCAGGTATAATTCAACTCGAAGTGGAGTTCTAACTGTATAGAACATACAACTTTGGCATTTTAGCAAAATAAATGTTATATTAGGTCCACAAATTACAGGTGTTCTATGAAGTATTTGACTCTCAGAAGTCTTTTTGGCTATGCTGTGATCCAACCCAGTTGGCCCTTTTGCACTGCTGGAACGGAGACCTGCAGAGTAAACTATGTGGACAGTTGTGATGCCTAATGAATGTTTATATTACCGTCTTTTGGAGTAGCATGCTCAATGCCCAGTTACCTGACCCAATATCAAAAGTGTACTCGTAATTGCATGATTCAAATCAAAATTAACCCGACTTGAAAGTTAATTAAGATTAACAACTTTTATTTCTTCTCATGATTAAGTAACATGATAACAATTCTTTCAAAAAAAAAAAAAAAAAAGTAACATGATAACAATTATCACGGAGTTATGATAATATATCTCAAACAAAACTGATTAATACAAATCCGATTCGAATGACCTGATTTCCACCTACAACTCTACAAGTAAGAATAGCCACCATACACAATCAATATTATCTTAGATTCTTTGTTACTCCCATAATATGTTAGGCCTTTTGGTATTTCTTTTTTTTGACATTCATGTAAAATGGTTGACTTCCTAAATAAGAGAAGTCTAAGTGAACATGTAACTTTTGAGATGGAAAGTGTTGAGCAATTAGGTTTTGATGATTATAAACTAATGATGATTATCTATCTAACGTGTATGTTAAGTTGTGCATAGAAAAAGCAAATTATGCTTGGAACAGGATACAAGGAACCTGAGTAATGACAGGTATATATGTAAGGAACTTGAGCAATATAGGATAAGCAATAGAGGAACAAGAACAACGATAAGTGTTATGGTTGATAAGCATGATGATGGCTAAGGGACCATGAAGGTAACTATGTAAACATGTGTTTACATATGTTAGCTTCATAAGGTAAGTATCCTATACATATATAGGTTATGTATGTGTAGGAGTCTTTTAATTTAGTTTAGTTTTCTTTATTGTTTTTATAAATAAAAAACTAACCTTCTGTTTTACTTTGTTATTCTCAGAAGTTTGCTCAGTTCGTCATCATAAAAAAGGGACAACTTGTTGATCCTTATGAGGTTTTGATGATGATGTTAAGAATTGAGCAAACTTCCATTTAATAAGGATTTTCTAGTGTTGTGATGTTTGCAGGTTCAGTAAGCGTTGAGGGCTGAAGTAGGAATTGAAACAGAGGAACTTTAGAGGATCCATGAGGATACAAGTAAATTTAGAAGAAGAGTTCCAGAAATGGAACTTCCAGAAGTTTCTTAACAGGAACTTCAAAACGGGTTGTAACGACCTGGTTTCGGTGTAATGCTGGGGAAAACCCTAAGATCCAGAATATATCAAGACTACAGGATTCCAGAACAAGAGTTTCAGAGAAGCAACATGAAGACAGAGAAATAGAAGTATATTGCTCTAGGATTCATGTAAGTATGTTGGACATAAAAGTCGGTCTGGAACAAGTCTATATAGAACCAAGGTGAATTCCAAACAGTCAATGAAATTAGAGTAACTGACTTGTCAGGAACTCAGAGACTGTCAGAGTTCAGGAACCTAATAGGAACTTAAGTATGAACGTCGTTAAAAGTCGGTTTTAATGATATATATATTTACCTTATACGTGCATATCTTTTAGGGATTTGGTTTTACTGAATAAAGATATTTATCTTCTAATAAATCCCTTTTGGAAAAAGATAAGATTGTTTAAAAAGTATTTTAAACAAAAAGATAAGTTTTGAATAAAATCTGATTTTATGCTAAGTTTATCTTATTATTATTGACAGTTTTTATTCTTAACAAAAAGATATATTTTCGGAAAACTGATTTTTAGAAAATATCTTTTAAACTTATCTTTTCAGAAAATCTATCTTTTTCAAGATGAAATGAATAATTCGAGTGTACTATAAATATGCTCATATGCATTCATTCAAAGTTGAGGCTGACGAAGTGTAGTGGTCGTGCTTAATGGTTTTATCCTTCACCACGAAGCTAAGTCAGTCCTCCTGGTCAAAGTTCCTATCAGGTTTTTGGTTACAGTACGTCTAGTGAGTTCCAGACAGATCTTGAGTGTTCAACATATTAGTTTTATCTCTTTATTCATAGATATGTATTTAGGGATATTCGATGAGATCTTGTAATGGGAAAAAGGGTTTTGAGTGTTTTGTATTTTGGGGTGAGATTGTGAATTCTCTTAAATTCACGCTTGTGTATGAGTTTGAAATCTGGTAAAATTCGAGTGGTAGCTGTGAGTGCACAGTGAGTGAAAGGAACCTGAGAAGTGTCTTGGGTCACCTAGGAAGTTTCCTGGGTAAAGGGAGAAAAAGGGTCCTGAGAAGTGTCTTAGGTCTGGTAGGAAGTGTCCTATCATAGAGTCAAGTGTCCGTGGCGGAACTTGCAAAGCAAAGGTCTGTGTAATAGGTTGTACTAGGAGAGTTGCCTATTATAGTGGAATTTGTTTATAAGTCCCAATAGGGCCGAGGTTTTACTTCCAGTTAGGCACTGGATGGTTTCCTCGTAAAACTTGCTTTGTGCTTTAAGTTCCTTTACGTTTTGTTTTTAATTTCCGCATAAGTTTCGCGATTGGAACCTACTACCATTCACCCCCCCTCTTGTAGTAGTTCATCTAAAATAACAGAAAGATATGAATAAATGCATGAAGATCTAACTTTTACTTTATGGACTTTAAAAGTCATAACTCTTCCTGGCTTGCACATTATTGTGGACTGTGTTGGTTGGAATGGCGCGTAAATGATGTACAAATAATTGTATAGTCAAGTCAATTCTAAGTCTAATATTTTTTTTTTTTTTTGAAGAATTCAATTCTAAGTCTAATACGGAGTATTTATTCATCATCTTTGACTAATTTTGATTATTTTATTCTATACATTTCCATGCATAATGCACAAATTAAAGCTAATGATACTGATGAGTTTTTACCAAATTATTTGGTTCAATTTGTATCTACTTAATATATTCGTGACGTAATTGACAAATTTGAAATGGTGGCTTTAAAACGGCAAAAGAAGTAGTGCAAAAACATAAAGGTTACAAATTTACTACTTGTAAAACTCTAAAACGACTTATTTTCAACTTTTTAGCATTTTTGA